AGAGAGAGAGAGAGAGATCGCGTATACGCCGCGGTCATTGTAAACTGTTCTCGCGATTGCCGCTGGTCGTCGACGATGAAATCTGAACGCGACGCGCGGAGAAAACACGTTTTATCCGCCGGCTACACTGGCGGGCTACTACACTCGCGTTTCAACAACGACATTAACTCTTCGACGAATAGAAGACGCGAAAGAGAATTCCATCGCGCGCGAATATGATTTACGATCGCTGGAAATCGTTTTACATCGCGAACGCGTTTGGGATATTTCTCACGTTGGCGAAACACAGAACGATTTTAGAGCTGCCAGCTCGAAATTATTCAAGCTCGAGATGAAAACTGGGGGAACTCGAACGATCTCGTACGGACGAGGCAGCGAGAAAAGCACGACTATGCAAGAAATTTCGAACTCGAAAGTGGCTCGTACGTTCTGCTGAGTAGAAAATATTAATGATTCAGCACGTTTCGCAGCTTAATTTCTAAAGGGTGAAAATTAGAAAAGTAGCACCGATGAACCTCAATCGCGAGCAAGAACGATACACTTCATAGAATCATCGTGTTATTTGCTATGTTTCGCTTGTACTCGAGTTGGGACGCTTCGAAGCAAGAAATCATTTCCCACGCAAAGCGTGGAATGCTACGTTCATTCACAAGTCGGGCAGTGAAAGAACGAAAAAAAGAAAAAAAGAGAGAGAGAGAGAGAGAGAGAAAAAGAAGACAGCCACGATGGAAATAAAAAGAGTGCCAGGATAATGGATGGAAAAACTCGTTATCGAGTGTCTTCTCGTTGCAAAGTGTGCTGTCGCATCGTGTGGTTTCGAGGCCCGACAGCCAACGACCGCAGACGGGAAATTCCACTTGGGAAATCACACGATGCCATTTGGCACGTCCGATCTTAATTAAAAAGTGGACTTTTTAACGAAATCCTCGTCGCCTAGCACGATCAACGACACACGATCGACAAACAACGTTGAATCATTTACACACAAGGTGTTCCAGTATTGAAAGTACAACCAAGGAAAAGATGATATCGTGTGGAAAACAAAATTTAGAATAATAATAAGAACAATTCTCAGAATGGAATAATTCTATTCTATTCTATACATATCTTGTAATATAATAATAGGATAATTCTTAGAATAAAAATAATAAATAAAAAATACGATCTTTTCATTTAAGGCTTCGTTTTCGTAAATAAAGAAAACAAAATGTGTACAATTTCTTCACAAGACGCTTCGTTTTCGAGAAAATTCGATCTGAAAATTTACCAAGTATACTAAGGTAATTTTTAACTAAACATATTCAAATTCTATTCTCTTGAAAACAAGGAGAAACCTTGTCCCACATTTTTCACTTATTTTCACAGGTAGAATAACTTTCTACCGATTAGCCCTATACAATTCAGGATCAGCGAAATTCGAATATACTTGGTGAATTTTCAAACCAGATTTCCTCAAAAACGATAGAATACGAGAATATTTAAAGATAAACGATAAAATATTATTCTTTACTTTCGATTTATTTTGCCACGGAAAATCTTCTCTCGTTATAACTTCAATATTGGGACACCCTGTATGTATTCTACACACACGAAATTGTCGCACGTACGCGTCCTCGTTTAAATGTTTCTATTAAACACTTTCCCGCCCGGATATTTAAAATGACAGTTGCCTGTATGATTTATTGGAACTATCTAAAACTAGAGGTTTTATAAATAACTGTACAATTTTATTATTTCAACATTGTACTTGATCATCCAATCTGTCAATATGACTGATTTTAGATTTAAAAAGATATTCTTGTCAGAATTAATATTCAAATTTCTGTTTGTACAGAAACACGAATTGTACGAATCTATTTATTTGAATTATCATTTAAATTTTCATTTATTTATTTATTTGTATTAATGTTTTTTCGTTAAACAACCAGAGTCAAGTACGTGTGACGCCGGTCGTAAAAAGTGTTAACGTTCAACTAACAAGTGCGGTTATGCTTCGTAGGCAAAGTATGAAAGTCTGCAGGGCAACCACTTTCTTCCCTTTATCCTGCTAGATTTCCGCCCTCGAGGATCAACCGGAATTCCGCTATCAATAAAACACGCGCTTTCACCGAGGCTTTCTCTTATCGGCCCAAAATCCTATCGGCCTCGCAGCTCACCGAAAATCCGACTATGCACTTTCCTCGATCCTCTTTCAATTCTACAAGACGTTCCACAATTTCTATCTCGCAACGGAGGTATATACACATATATATATATATATAAACGAACTCTCTCGAGATTGTAAATTTCGACGAAACAGATCCTAATCCTAAAACGGCGAAGTACGAGATTTTCATTCTTTCTATTTGCAAGAAAGAAAAAAAAGGAGAGAGAGAGAGAAAAAGATGAAAATACGGTCGAAAGAGTGACACGTGAACGTGAATAGAGGCCGGGGCCTGTATGAAACTTAAATAAAGCGTAATTAATTCTAATTGAAGTGGCGATTACCCGGACGCGGCGAAAGTTTCTTGTTCGTGTGCGAGAGCGGCACGAGTCTTTTGCCGGCGCAAGCCTGCTGAATGCGAAAAGCCCTGGTAGCCCCGTCGGTCGGCATGGCAACAGCTCCGCGCGTCCCGGCGTCGGGACGCTCGATACTAGACGACGACGACGACGACGCCCAAATCCGAAGGGGGCGGAGAGGAACACACCGGGCCGGCCGGCCGGCCGGCAACTCGTACAAATTCGCCACGCGATTCGAATTTCCGATCGCGATTTACCCGATCGATCCCGCGGATTTGCCCGCGCGGCGATGCAGACAGAGAGCGGCAATTCCACAAATTCGGACTGCTGCAAGCAACGTGGTTTACCCACGCAAAGAGAGAAGAGATCGATCGCGCTTCCACCAGAACTTTGAACCCATCCGTGAACGATCCGTGGCAACAAGTCGCCGTGTGTTATCGAAATCTCCTCGCTTTCGATCGTTGAAAAACAGAGAACTAGCTAGCTACACTTGTGTGAAAGAGGCGAACGCGCAAACACGCCAGCGAAAGCCGAAGATGATTTCGCAGATTCTTGTTGCTCGGTGGTCACGATATATTTAGAATTCGTTTTTATCGCGCCTTCCTTCGATTCGTGTTTTAATTTGTGCACGGACCGCGAGAAAAGTGTGTCAGGCCCGATACCGCGGATTTATAAATAAAGAAGAGGGGGAAATCGACGGCGAAATGACGTATTTCGTCGCTCGTATTTTTAATGCAATGGCATCTCGATGACGTCAAGTGATAACGAGGCTGAGACATCTCTGGTGACACGTGCAGGTCTTTCAACCGGCACACTTCGGCAACGGATCAGTGACACTCGATGAGACAAAAGAAGAGACAGACTAGGCGCGTAATTCGAATGCCGAATACCCACCCGCGTACCCGGTCGATCGCGAAACAACCTGTATCCCGCGTTCACATTTAGGAAATTAATTTCCCGCCCGGTGTGCAACGATCGTTTGTTTCCTCGTTTCTTCTCGTTCTCGGGCGTGTTACCGGGTAAATTGAAGTGGACGAGAGAGGAAAAAAATATGCCGTGCTCTTTCATAAAAAATATGAGTTTTCCGTCCTGCACGGCCACGCGCTGGCCTCGCCAATTCTCTCTCTCTCTCTCTCTCTCTCTCTCTCTCTCTTAGTTTCTCGCCGGGGGAAGTACTTGATTACCTTCGGTGGAGCCAGCAAGCCTCTACTCGCTCCGCCAGCTGCCTTCGATCGTTCCTTTTACAATATTATGGCCTTTCGGGAAAGAAGTGCTCGCAACAGACGAACAAAATGGGCGGAGTGTTTAAGTTTATTATAAGAAAGCTGAAAAATTTGAAGCGTATCGCTGGCCGTCCTTCCAATATCGGCTCTCTCGAAATTACCAAAACGATTCCCTATTCAATAGCGCAACGTTTTCAATCGGTTAATAGAGCACGATTACCGCGATGAATGCCGAGACTCGTTTTCGTGAAAATTTTTCCACGACGAGGAGCGTTCGGCATCGTTATCGATCGCTCCGCGAACACAAGAAGAAAACTGCGTGTGTCAATATTTGCGCGACAGACTTAGCCTCCAGATTACAGACGAAGAACGTCACCATATTGGGCTAAACTCTCTCGCACCACTCTTTCTCCGCTCGATCGATTAAGTGACTCCGAATATATTGCACGCGGCGCAATATCCGGACCACCTGCAAACCATCGACCTTCGAAACGTGCCGTAAAATCTGATTCATCGAAAACAACAAGGCTGGATTTCCTTTTTATGCTC